AGTGCTATTATAAAACTTAGTACATGGAAACTCATCCAACTAACTTGGGAGGGAGGGTGGGAAGAAAAAGATAGAAAGAAATAGAGAGAAAAATGAAAATGATCATGTTCTAACTCTGCTGTTTCCAAATGACCCTCATTGCCAGGTCTGGGTTTCAGTCTGAGAGGGCATTCCAGCTCTCTCTCACCATTCACCTGCCTGATGCTTTCCTCTTTAGCAAGTACTGCAAGTCATGTGGCTTGCCATCTCCAAGTTTTTGCTAATAGATTGCTCTCCCTTGCTGGCTAAGTCCAGTTCACCTTTTAAGTTAGCTGAGGAGTCACCTTCCCCACCAAGTTCTCCCTAATTTTCCCACAATTTAAGTTAGGTGTTCCTCCTCATATATTATAATCAGCTGTCTCTTATCTGTCTTCCCCCTTAGACTAGTATTCTTGAGGGCAGAGATTATCTCTTACACATTGTTGTATTCCAAATGCCTTAGCAAAGTGTCTAGTGTATAGTAAGCATTCAGTATATGATGGTTAGATGAGTGGATACCATTTTTCTACTAGCAACTGCAGGACTATGAAGATTAATATACTAAATAACCTCATTCTTCAAGTGAGACACTGTCCCCTGGGAAGGTGCCCTTATCCTCTATCAGCACCTACTATAACAAAAAATTAACTCACCAGAACCAGAATACTGAAAATACAACTACAGGACCCTGAGAATCATTCCTTCTCAGGTGAAACTTCTATAGATAATAAAGATACATTAGAGTAGATAGATTTGAACATAGAATCACTGACATTTCTGGAAGTTAATTCTATAAATTAATTTTTTAAATTTTATTTTATCATGTTATGTTAATCACCATACATTACATCATTAGTTTTTGACATAGTGTTCCACAATTCATTGTTTGCGTATAACACCCAGTGCTCCATTCAATACGTACCCTCCTTAGTACCTATCACCAGGTTAACCCATCCCCCCACCCCCTCCCCTCTAGAACCCTGTTTGTTTCTCAGAGTCCATAGTCTCTCATGGTTCGTCTCCCCCTCCGATTTCCCCCCCTTCATTTTTCCCTTCCTACTATCTTTTTTTTTTTTCAACATATAATATATTATTTGTTTCAGAGGTACAGGTCTGTGATTCAACAGTCTTACACAATTCACAGCGCTCACCTTAGCACATACCATCCCCAATGTCCATCACCCAACCACCCCATCCCTCCCACCCCCCACCATTCCAGCAACCCTCAGTTTGTTTCCTGAGATTAAGAATTCCTCATAATTAATTTTTTAAGTCCATTAACCTACCCCACCCTACCTCACCTACTCTTTCTGAACTTCCTGTTTGCTTTGGTCACACTCCGCAGATGTTACTCAGATCAAATGGCTTTCACTGCCTCAGTATATTTCAATTGCTACTTCTATAACCATTCCTCAGTGTTTTGCATTCCTTAGTGTTTATACAGTTTAGATGTCTATGTTCAATCCAGGTAAGGAAAAACAGAAATAATTTGAAAGTTAATGTGCCAGAGATCAGAGAACATACAATACATATGGTAGGGAAAATGTATATTTAATATGCATAAATGAAGAAAATTATTAATGTTTTAAAGATAATTTTGGGTTTATTTCCGACCAAGTTTTCTTTTGAGGGAAAATAAAAGAATGAATAATTTAAAAAGAATTAAAATCAGAAAAAGTCATGGTCAAATATACGTTTAAGTACTGAACTTAGGTATCGATGGTTTAATACTGAAATATGAAGTCTATTTTACATAAGGCAGACACATTCAAATTGAATTTTCCTCTGCAGGAGGCTTGTTCTTTTCTAATAATCACTAAATGATAAATATTTTTACTTTTCTCATTTCTTCTTGTTCCTTTGATAAATAAGCTCCATAAACAACTATGAATAGATTTCGTACCTTAAATTTTGCACTTCATTGAAAAATCTGGTTTGTCTGGAGCACTTCATTCTGTGTTCCAGACAAACCAACTACTAAGAACACATTAAACTATGAGTAAACTCTATTCACTTTATTAATAGCTCATTTTTTAGAACTACTGAACTGTTAATTATATTTCAAAGTATACTTAGAAATGTGAGTTCACATGGAACAAACACATGAGGCAACATCATTACTGGCCAATCCCCCAAATCAATAATATCCTTTCTTTTGAGACATAATGAGGCCCTGTGTATAATTTATTGTAATTTCAATGACATTTCTCAATTTTAAATCATTTCACTTGTTCTTTATCAAGAAAGAAAATAGTTCTAGATTCTTTTAAAAACAGCTTTCCTGGGGCACCTGGGCGGCATAGTTGGTTAAGCATCAGACTCTTGGTTTTGGCTCGGGTAGTGATCTTGGGGTCCTGGGACGGAGCCCTGCGTCAGGATCCATGCCCAGTGTGGAGTTGGCTTGGGATTCTCTCTCCCCTTTCTCACTTCCTCTTCACCCCATCTGCACGCTCTCTCTCTAAAATAAATAAATAAATCTTAAACAAAAACAAAACAAGAAAAAAAAAACCCAGCTTTCCTGAAATGGAAGAGTACGATGAATAGAGCCAAAAAATACCCAATTCATAAATTATGGAAACTCTCAATTTTATTTATTTTTTTTTAAGATTTTATTTATTTATTTAATTGACAGAGAGAGACAGTGAGAGAGGGAACACAAGCAGGGGGAGTGGGAGAGGGAGAAGCAGGCTCCCCGCTGAGCAGGGAGCCCGATGCGGGGCTCGATCCCAGGACCCTAGGATCATGACCTGAGCTGAAGGCAGTCGCTTAACCAACTGAGCCACCCAGGCGCCCCTGGAAACTCTCAATTTTAGAAAAGAATGCTATAAATTTAATATTCATTCAATGGCCTATTATTCATATCATCTGCATATGCTACAAATTTCTAAGGATCTTGTCATAGCAAATAATCAAATTAAACCACATCATTCATCTTTTTAATTTGTACATATTTGACACGATTTTTATTTTTATTTATTTTACTTTTATTTCTAAGATAATGCCCCACCAAGGTAAAATCTCATTTCATTTGGTTATAGAGTGTAATTTCCTGGGAATTGCTATTTATAAAATTTCCTTTAATGAATTCATAAAATGGGTCCTTTGCTGATTTTAATTACATATTATTAAGGGGAAAATTCTACTTTTTTTGTAGATGTGATCCATTTTTTTTCATAGAAAGAAAGGATAAACTTTCTTCCTTTACAAAAATAAAAGTATCCAATATTTCTGATTTGCTAAAATTTATAAGAAAGAAAAAGTGCCTTGGTTTGTTGTCTCTTTTAAAATGGTTGGGATCAAAGTTTTGATGATCTAAGAGTAAATATTAAATACTATGAAAATACAGTCATTCAGAGTTCAGAGATTGAGAACCTCAGCTATATGAAAAGCCTCAATCCTAAAAGTAAGTTTTAAAGGATTCCAACCAACAAAAATCTCTTTAATATGTGCAAGGTGAACCTTAGAGATAAATAAACAATATTACAGCATAAAAAAAATGGTAGTTAACAGTAGAGAGAACTATCAAAATAACACAGAAGATCTGGAGATACATACCAAAGCATTTATAGGTGAATGGATATGATATCCAAGATATACTTCAAAATAATCCATGTCTAGGGGAGAATCAAATGAAGGGTATAAAAGAGAAGGTTTGGTCATGTGTTGATTATGGAAGCCGGGTGATGGATAAAGAGGGTTTATCATAGTATTCTCTCTACTTTTGTATATACTTCAAAACCTTGCTAATAAAAAGTAAAACAACAACAAAAACAAACATAGAATTATAAGCCAATAGTCCCTGAAGATATCCATTAGTTATGAACAATCTTATAATGGCCAAATTCAAAGGCCTTATTTCTGTTCTCATCTTCTATGATCCCTCCATCAAATGACACTGCCTCACACCTTTCCTTAAACTCTGTTGTCTTTTGTTTCCCAAACTTTCTGACTCCTTTCCTCTCAACCTCTTTAGCTGGATCTTTCTTTGCATGCCTCCAAAGTTTGGAGATCCTCAAAGCCCTTGTCTTTTCAAACTTTATGGACAATCGCAAGGCATTAATTACAACTACATGTCAATGACCCTCACATTGCCATTTTCCACCCCCATGTCTCAGGAGTATTAGTGCTATACACTGGATTATATTCACCACTTGGTAAATTTTACTACATCCTCTCCTTAGCTGTACTTTCTACTTTGCCTGATACACTTACATAGATCTCCAACTAGTACCTCAAATTCAATATATGTTTGAAAAGAAACCCAATTCATAATCTTTCTTTACATTTCTCCACCAAAAGCAGTAGCTCTCCTCTCAGCTTTTTAGCTTCTCCAAATGGTACCCAATCAACCAGGTGTCTAAGTCATGCTTATCTGGGCCCTCTCTTTCTTCATATCCTTTCAGCTCTATTCCTTCCTGTTGTTACTGCTATGAGACTCCTTCAGCTGGGACTACTGCCAAGCCTTCCTAACTGGTTTTCTGTCTTCTGATTTCTTCTAATTCCAATCCATCACACAGAGTTGCCAGATTAGAAGATTATCTCTAAAGATTTCACTCCCCTGCTCAAAAATCTTTGATGGGTCCCCTCTGCCTACTAAATAAATCTGAATTCTCTACCCAGATAGTCAATGCCCTTTACATGACCTAAGCTCCAATCAAACTGAACTCTAATGGTGTTTTATTTATCCCTCTACGAAGAAAATGTACTCTGCTACATTTCCCTTCTGCTACCTAGTATAGGTAATTTAATGTAGGTCTTACTCCCACCCCTAACCCCCCCAATATTTGTTGGCTGTTTGAGGGCAGGGACCATATCTTGGTACCTCCCCACAGAAAATAACACAGTAATGTTTGTGAAGGAAGGAAAGCAAGACTTCAGAATAAAACCCAATTCAATTTGGGCTACAAAATAGTATTTCAATTCCTCTTCCTACAGATGTAGTCTTTCCAGAATATGTACATAGAATAAAAAATATTTATTACCTGTTATTACATTTATATCTGGGTACTGGTTTTCACACAGACCAACAGCTTTGCTATCTCTCTCAAAAGCCTCTCGAAGTTCTTTCTTGACTGCTGCCGAACCACATAATCGGTACAGGCCTACCACCTAGAAATAAAATTATGGCTATATTATGGTAAATTTGATAAAGAGAAAATATAGTAGCACAAAATGTATAAGTCACATGAAATTGGTAATCAAATATGTTCTGATGACATTTAATTAAAAATACCTCAAACAACTTTTGAAATCTCACCATAGACTATATTCATCAGTCTTCAAGAATAAAAATATTCTATTCTTTCTTTTAAATTCAAACAATATTCTATGATTTCTGTAGTGCTATCTATCTTATCTTAAGATACCAGCCCTTCACTTTGGTTTTATATGGTCAACCACTATGCCCAAGATTGTGCCCTTTCACATCTTTTGCTCTAAACTGAAGAAATGCAGCATAGTGGTTAAATAACGGTTTTAGATTCCAAAAGCCCCACTCTATTACTCCTTGCTTAGTGAATTTGGGCAAGTTATTTAATCTCTTTAAATCTCAGTTTATTTTTCCATAAAAAAAGTATATAGTTGAAATAAGATTCCAGTATACTATTTGTGTTATCTTTTTAGGGAAAAAAAGAGATTCTAGGGAAGAAATAAAAGCAAACCTGGAATTTTTTTAACTTACTAAATTAATTGATTATTAAGTGATAAAGAAATTCAATTAAAATAATATATTAAAGGTAAAATAAAACCTTTAGTTCAAAATATATATAAGATGCACAGATACCACCCTCCTTCACCTCAACCTACACTAAAAAGATTTATATTTTAAACATTGTTAGTTCATACAGGAGATAAAATTTAAGTCTTAGGAAGCTCATTATAAATTCACTGAGAGGAAATCAACATGATAGCTATAAAAGGAAAACATGTCTGATTAAGCAATCAGTTTTTTTAAAAAAAAATAAACCTTCAAGAAAACCAAGAAAAATAAGTTATTGTTAACTGTACTTCCACATCAAACATGATTTAGGAAGTTGAATTACCTTGAATTGAAGAAAGTTATAAAGAAATTATTTCAAGACAGAAATAAAGTAAAAACAAACAATGAATATCCCCAAGGATTTGAACTAGGAATCACTTTAAAATCTTATAAACTAGGAGAAGGAGTACACAAATGAAATTTCCAGGTGTAGTTAATGACACAAACTTCTCCAAGTCATTAAATAACTGATAGAATATAGAATAGAATATAGAAGGTGGGTCTTGATATAGGAAAGTGTTACTAATAGATACAGAGAAATGTTACGCAAAATATTAGAGATGATAAGCACTAAATATTAATTGGAAGATAGTAAGAAACCTACAACAATTTCTTTCTTTTTTTTTTTTTTTTAGATTTATTTATTTAAGAGAGAGTGCGTGCATGTGAGCAAGGCAAGGGGCAGAGGAAGGGAGGAGAGAAGCAGACTCCCTGCTGAGTGCAGAGCCCAACGTGAAGCTTGATCTCATGACCCCTGAGATTATGACCTGAGCCTAAATCAAAGGTCAGACGCTTAACTGACTGGGCCACCCAGGCGCCCCAGGAACCTGCAACTATTTTTAAGAGAAGGTAATGCAAGGATCAACATAATATGGGAAATTAAGGAATGTACTAAGAAGGAAATTTCCTACTCTTATCCACATTCATAGTGAATTCACATTGAGAATAGCGTGTCCTACGCTGGTCACATCTCACAAGACATAGGAGAACCATAGATGATCCAGAAAATAAAGCTAAAATATTAAAATGCTATCACATTAGAAGAAACTAACTCAAGTAGACCCTTCGGGTGTAGGCACATTTAAGTATCACAAAATTCCCTCATAAAGATGTATCCCCTTCAACTTGAGACGGAGATGAACCTAGAATAAATTAAAGAAAGCAATACTTCAGTAGTAAGTAATAAATTAATGGACCATGCTATCCCAAAAGGTGAATAAAGGAAGACAGAGATCTAATATAGATTATTTCAAGGAAAGGACACTTCAGGATATTATCCCTATCTTCAGAGGCTGATTTCTTGAATCAAACACTTGAAGTACATGCTTGATGCCTCTATCAGAGACAAAATCTGTACTGGATTAACCATGAGTATGATTTCCACCATAATTTTCCCATTGGAAGCAGGGGATAGGTGGTAGTAGCCTTCAAAGCATTTGGAAGATGCGACAAACTACTTTTGTAGGACTGTTAAAACCTCATGTTCACAGTAACAAAAACAAGAATAATTACGGACTAAAAAGGTAAACAAAATCCAAGTAGTGTACAAGTCTGTAAAATACAGACACAATAAGCTTCTTTCTCTGGGGGGTGGGGGGGAGGGAAAAGGCAAAAGAAACAAAACCAAGGGGCACCTGGGTGGCTCAGTTGGTTAAGCGACTGCCTTCAGCTCAGGTCATGATCCTGGAGTCCCGGGATCGAGTCCCGCATCGGGCTCCCTGCTCAGCAGAGAGTCTGCTTCTCCCTCTGACCCTCCCCACTCTCATGCTCTCTCTATCTCATTCTCTCTCTCAAATAAATAAATAAAATCTTTAAAAAAAAAAAAAAAGAAACAAAACCAAAAAAGGTGTTTAAAAACTGCAGTTCCAAATGTACTACTGTAAATTTTACTTTTTAGTTCACAGGAAATAATTCTTTTTTTTAAAATACACCATTTTTTTTTAAGAGTTTATTTATCTGAGAGAGAGAGAGCAGAAGCAGGGGGAGGGAGAGGGAGAGGGCGAAGCAGACTCTCCACTGAGCAGGGAGCCAGATGCAGGACTGGATCCCAGGACCCTGGAATCATGACCTGAGCTGAAGGAAGATGCTTAATCGACTGAGACACCCAGGCGCCCCATCACAGGAAATAATTCTTTATTAAAATAACTATTTCTAAACTTTAAGTATAGAAATAAAAAGCATTGCTAAAAATGTTTTCTTAGTATTTAAAAAAGTTACATCTTATATATACATTCTTTATAAAATATTTCAGAAAAGAGACTGTAAAAGTACAGTGCTATTTGAGTTACTTATTTTAATATTCAATTGTAAAAGTTTCTGTTTAATAATTAGCTTTACAGTCTGCCTAATCTCTGACCTCTCCACATGTTGCCAAAAAAAAAAGGGGTGGGGGGACAGAGAACCTTAAGAAAAAGTAACCGGACCAAGAGTTAGATTGGAAACTAAAGGCTTCAATCTCATATAGACAACATAAAGTCAATCTGAGTAATACATCTGAGGTTTCAAAAGTTCAGATGTCCCTCCTACCTCTCACCTTCAGAGAGCTACTTCATCTATTTTTATAGATATCAGCAAATAAGACCCACAGAGATTAAGTGACTAGCCCAACATCACACAGCTAATTAATAATGGAGGAGAAACCAGTACCTGTTCCCTGCATCTTTAATACAAAACCCCACTAACTTACTTAACACCGTTTCCATAGTTTCCTCATCAGGTCCAAGGTGAGTTATTTTAAAATCTTTTCTATATACAAAGAAATCATAGTTCAGACTTGGTGATATTTACCCCTGGTGTTTTTAATCAATGTCATAAATTCTGATAGCACTAAAGCAGAAATACCTCAGAAATACTGATGTTAGGCTTAATTTTTAAATTTAAACAATTACTTGTACCTCAGAATAATATCCTCAGTGATACGCTGTTTCTCATTGTCATAGCCCACATGTATTAAAGAAAATAAAGATAAGGTCTAATAAACTGGTTAATATTGCATATCTGATTACATACAACACCAGGGTTTTTGTTTGTTTTAATGGGCTGCTTTTACCTTCTTATTTATTTATTTAACCTTCTTATTTGAAAGGAAAAGAGAATGAGAAATGTTATTAGTAGGACCTCTCTTCATCCTCCATGCAATCCCAAAGTTCAGAGACAAGTAAGCTTATGCTTCCTGAAGAGTGGGAGGAGGGAGAGTATGGAATAAGGGCAGGGAGTTAGTTTTAGGAGTAAAGTGGGGTTTTAAGATTCACTGTTGGAATTCTGTGCCATAAGAATGTCAAACCATGCAGAATCATTCCTTAAATGAATTAGTCTCTGCCTATCTTATCAGCTCCGGCTTTTCCTAGGAATGCCATTGTAAAACAATCCTGATATGTAGGTATAACGCCCATGCAGCTCTGCATCACAACATAAATTGTAGAACCATCTAGCATGCTCTCAATTGCTCACTGACAACACAGGTGAAAGTACCCTAAACAGTAATGGAATAAAAATAAAAAATAGGAATGAGAAAATGTCTAAATTGGATTTTTTTTAACCTTACCTTAAATTCCTTCCCCTAAGACTTAACTATAAATTTAGTTAATTAAGGTAGATAAATATGATAAGGAGGTAGTAGAGAAACAGTGAAATAATACCTGACAGCCTCTCTTTTCAATTTCCATAATACATTTTTGTATCAGGAGTGGCACCATCAGTCCTATATTTTCTTTCTCTACAACTTTTCGAATATCAACACCAAATATTACTGGTTCTCGGTTTATATCCAGTCCATGAAGAGAATTCTCCCACTGTTCCAGAAGAGTCACTTTCACATAAATAAGACCTCTAGGCTCAAGTTTGACAGCCAACTGATGTGTCTTTGTCACTCTGAATAAAGTGGGAAGAACAACAGTTCCGTGACAACACACTCGATTTTTTCTTGGAGTCGGTTCCCAACTGAACACTACTAATTTCAAATGCTGTGCATTTTCAATTTCTATGTTGAAAGTATGATCCATGTCTAAAAATGTTGTCCGACATGTGAGCAAAGCTGTTCTTGCTTTGTTTACTGAATCTACCTGAATCGCACAGAAGACATCTTTTGAGTCTATCCGGGGTGGTTTTAAATCCTCAGCACCATAGAAATGCACACTCATGAGCCCAGATATGTACTGTGAACACTTAGGTTGATCAGAAAAACTGTAATGTCTAAAAGCATCAATGTCTATTTCATTCTTGTTACAACTATTTGGAATTATTTCTTTTCCCTTTCCAAATTTGCTTTCAGATCCATGTTTGCTAGATTTAGTTATAAGTTCAGGTGAATCTCCATCACTGAGGTAACCACCTTTGCACGAATACTTAGAACTCATAAACGTCGTTTTCTGGTAGTTGTGCTGAGAAGATACACTGGTATCCAGATGGTACCGACTTATAACATTCCTCTTAGCAGCTGTGGTTGTGTTCCCAGAAGGTAGAATATCAGCATGATGCATTTCTTGACAGTTACATTTAGACAAGGAAGGAGTATTATCTGGACTGTTCATATGATTCAAAGTTCCTTTGACGCTCAGCTTTCGGCTAAGTTCTGGCAACCTTTTCATTTTCATGGAAAGTTTCCTCACAGTTCGTGGAGATTTTATTTTATCTGGGAAAGACCAGTTAATTGAGCTACTTTTTTTCACAGGGCTAGGGCTTGGAGAAGATGGCTCTGGCACTCCCAATTCAGTCTTATTTGTAGCAGCTAGGATCCCAGGACCTTAAAAAACAAACAAACAAAAAAGGTATTACAAGGTGATATGTTCTGATTCCTACTTTATAAATCATCAACTAAACAAACTCTCATGTGGACAGATTTTCTTCTCATTTCATCTCATTGGGGAGATTTAGTTAGTTACAAGTTTAGGTAAATCTCCATTACCCCCTTCAAATAGAGTATCAAGGATTTCCAGGGGTGCCTGGATGGCTCAGTTGGTTGAGCATGTAACTCTTGATCTCGGTGTTGTTAAGTTTGAGCCCCACGTTGGGTGTAGAGATTACTTAAAAACAAAATCTTAAAAAAAAAAAAAAGGGGTGGATTTCTAAATAGCTTACAGAGGAAAAAAGCATTTCCCTCTCCATCTGCTTTTCTATTCTAATGGTTTGGAGGAAGGGTAATATATGTTCCTTTTAAATCTTTCCCACTGCAGTATAATTCAGGGAGTATGTTATTTTATAACCATAAGCAGTGGATATCAGAGGAAACTAGGAAAGCTTCCTATTTTAATAGGTTTATTTTGGCATATTAATACACATTTATTTTAACATATTTCCTATTTTAATATGTTTATTCAGAAATCCTACTCTAATTAAAAAAAGAAATCCTACTCTAAGAACATTTCTTCTTTATTTTTAAGATTTTTTAATTTATTTACTTGAGAGAGAGAGCAAGTGAGCACAAGCAGGGGGAGGGGCAGAAGGAGAGGGAGAAGCAGGCTCCCTGCCAAGCAGGGAAGCCAGACGCAAAGCTGGCTCGATCCCAGGACCCCAAGATCAAAACCTGGGCGGAAGGCAGCCGCCTAACCAACTGAGCCACCCAGGTCCCCAAAGGAACATTTCTTCTATTTACAATCCTCTAAAAACTAAATTTTATCATGTAGCAGGACTGGTTTTTTAAAAAATTTAAAAACAAAACAAAATTTATAATTTTGACAACTAAGAGCCCTTCTTCATTCTAATGTTCTATTAGAACATACCATGGAAGATTATATAAAATCAACTCCAGTCAATCAAGAATAACTGAATATCGAGGGGGGCCTGGGTGGCTCCGTTGGTTGAGGGTCCAACTCTTGATTTCGGTTCAGGTTGTGATCTCAGGGTCATAAGATCGAGCTCCACACTGAGCTTAAAGACGCTAGAGCAGGTGTCCAGAAGGACAAGGGATGGGAGTGGAAGTGGGGACCTGGGACGAAAAGTGAGAAATGAACGGAGGGATGAATTACAAGTGCTCTATAGACTTAGCAGTCTGGATGACTTGACTTATATCCCACGATACAACAGCAATGAGTTGAAAGCCCTTAAAACATGAAGGAAGAGTTGCAGGAATGGATTCAAGAGTGTATATACAGGGGCGGGCGCCTGGGTGGCTCAGTTGGTTAAGCGACTGCCTTCGGCTCAGGTCATGATCCTGGAGTCCCGGGATCGAGTCCCACATCAGGCTCCCTGCTCCGCAGGGAGTCTGCTTCTCCCTCTGACCCTCCTCCCTCTCATGCTCTCTGTCTCTCATTGTCTCTCTCGCAAATAAATAAAGTCTTAAAAAAAAAAATTAAAAAAAAAAGAAAAAAGAGTGTATATACAGGGGCGCCTGGGTGGCTCAGTAAATTAGGTGACTGCCTTTGGCTCAGGTCATGATCTCAGGGTCCTGGGATTGAGCACCATGTTGGGCTCTCCACTCGGCGGCAAGTCTGCTTCTCCCTCTGCCTGTTATTTCTCTCACTTTTGCTCTCTCTCAAATAAATAAATAAGCTTTAAAAAAAATAAAGTGTATTCAAAAAAATAAAAAACAAAAAAGTCTGCTTGTCCCTCTCCCTCCCCCCATTTGTGCATGCTCTCTCTCTCTCAAATAAAATCTTTAAAAAAAAATTAAAATAAATTTTAAAAAGAATAACTGAATATTCAATATCATAAAGCTAATTGATTGATTTTAAAAACTATAAAGACATTTCTTATATTATTTATATACAGTAACTCCCTAGAACTTCAAAAGCTAAATTAGGGTCTTTCCTTGCAATTTCAAAGTATTAAATGACAGTACAGAGGCATAAATAAGTTTTCTTATAATTCTCAGTTTTCATGAAGAGTAAAGCATTTAAATGTTTCTTAATTCTTCTCCACCCAAAAATAGCTTTATTTTTTTTCTGAATGTAAAAGCAAAAAGTTTTTAAAAGATACAAAGAAATACAAATAAAGTAAATAGCCTAAACTGCACTATCAAGAGATTAGCCATTGTAAATATTGTGGTGAAAAGAATATTAAAAGTTGTTTAATATTAAATTGTTAATATTTATAACACCAGCCAACATTTATTTAGACAAAGTATGAAAAATTAATACTTAAGTATGCAAGGATCCTCATTTAATTCTTGAAATAGCCCTATGAGTTAAGATACCACTAGCATCCCATTCTCCAGATAAAGACCTCATGCACAGAGCTGTCTATTTGTTTAAGATCACAAAGCTGGTAAGTGGAAGAAACAGGAATGATTCAAACCTAAGCATAGGCCTTCAAAGCCTATATTCTTTTTTTTTTTTTAAAGATTTATTTATTTGAGAGAGCGAGAATGGAGAGAGAGAGAGTACATGAGAGGGGGTAGGGTTAGAGGGAGAAGCAGGCTCCTCGCTGAGCAGGGAGCCCGATGCGGGACTCGATCCAGGGACTCCAGGATCATGACCTGAGCCGAAGGCAGTTGCTTAACTAACTGAGCCACTCAGGCGCCCCAAAGCCTATATTCTTAAATACTATACTTTAGAGCCCTTCCATCCTTCTAAACATTTTTCTGTCTATACATACACATTAAATTGATTTTTAATGACCATTTTTCAACTATTAAGAAGTTAAAATATTCTATTTAACCTCAAACTTTCAATCCCCCAGTTAAAAAAAAAATGTCAGGGGCGCCTGGGTGGCTCATTTGGTGAAGAATCTGCCTTTGGCTCAAGTCATGATCTCAGGGTCCTGCTCAGTGGGAAGCCTACTTCTCCCTCTCCCTCTGCCCTTCACCCTGCTCGTGCTCTGTCTCTCTCTCTCTCAAATAAATAAATAAATAAATAAAATTTTTAAAAAAATGTACAGACTAATAAATTTTATTTTAAAACTTGAAACTGTTGGGGCGCCTGGGTGGCTCAGTTGTTAGGCGTCTGCCTTCAGCTCAGGTCATGATCCCAGGGTCCTGGGATTGAGCCCCGCATTGGGCTCCCTGCTCTGCGGGAAGCCTGCTTCTCCTTCTCCCACTCCCCTTGCTTGTGTTCCTGCTCTCGCTATCTCTCTCTCTCTGTCAAATAAATAAATAAAATCTTAAAAAAAAAAAACAAACTTGAAACTGTTCCTATTTAAGGGTTCAAACTAATAAAGCAAAATGAAAATATCTTCTAAAATCTAATATAAGTTTAAACTGTTCCTTTAAAGAAACAATCTAGGGGTGCCTGGCTGGCTCAATCAGTAGAGCATGTGACTCTTGATCTCAGGGTGGGGCCTAGAGCTTACTTTAAAAAAAAAAAAGAAATAAAGAAATAATCCATTTTTTAAACTATTTAAAATTTAAATCAATTTTTCACACTTCATCTAACTATTCCTTACAAAGATCTCTAGTGACCCTCATATCAGAGGCTACTCTATGTAATACATTTCACAATTAAAATGATCCAAAAAAGTATTAATTCATTTCAAAAATCAATAGATTAAATGACCTTTCTTTAAAGTATTAATATAGTCTCCCTCCACCCCTCTTTGTGTGTCCTAATGACAAAGAAGTGGTTTCTTTCTAGAGAAAGGACTATTTTAAGTATGCCTGCTGGGCTTTTCTGGTAAGTAACTAATAAGAAATGGAGTGTGTGATAAACTAGACAAAGCATTCTCTTGTACTGTAAATTGTAGTACAATTCTACTGGTTTACTGGCCTAAAACATTCTATAGTAATCGGAGTCCTGCTGTAGTCTACAATCTCTTTTGTCATGGCTTAAAAAGCTACCCAGTATATTAAGTTGCTCTAGGTTTTTTTTACATTATTAAGGAGTTAATTTAACATTGACTTTTTCTACACATCATGCATTAAATATTTCTTACTTAAGTCCTTAACTAATTATTAAATTGAAATACTGTAAAAATTAGCAATTTCTAACTGCAGACAAGATAATTTATTAAAATAAAAATGCTTTGTTTTTATAAAATCCAAGAGCTGAACTATTACCAAATTCAATAACTGCTTAAAATTAAACCAAAATCACACTAATCAAATCACAGACTAGTTATAAAGGGAAAGTACAAAATGAAAATCTTTATAAATTCATGGGCCAGGCTAGAATCAAGTGAAACTGGCACATTCCTTCAGCACCTAGAACAGTAACTGGTACACAGCAGAAACTGAGTGTTTACTGAATAAATGAATCAACCAACCAATTGTTGGTTGCCTGTAAGCTGGTAAAACTTATAGGAAATGTAATATAGGAATTACATATAATAGTTACCAGTCAGAAAAACCCAGTAATGCTACTAGTTATTAATCCTAATTAAGTAAAATAGAACATGATGAAGATCACTCCAATAGGAGTGGAAACAATCTATTAACACCCAACATAATGAGTCAAATAGATTAGGACCCATCAACCCAATTAAAGACTATGAAATTGGTAAACAATAATGTTATTCTACAGTATGTAACAATACAAGATGAAAATACCAAGTGAAAATATCCAAAAAGGAGAGTGCTATGATTGCAGCTAAATAAAAGATACATATACACATGGGACTTGAGAGACAAGTCATAATTGTGTTAGGATGATTAAAAAATTGTCATTCATATCAAATATACTCCAGCTTTCCTATTTCTTAATCAGAAAATTATTTTAAAATTCAACCATTCTCTTTGCGTATTTCTCAACAGTTCTCTGTTAATATTGCTAAAGAAAACATCACTTTAGGGGCACCTGGGTGGCTCAGTCGGTTAAGCATATGCCTTTGGCTCAGGTCATGATCCCAGGGTCCTGGGATCAAGCCCCGCATCAGGCTCCCTGCTCCGTAGGGAGCCTGCCTCTCCCTCTCCCTCTGCCTGCTTCTCCCTCTGCTTGTGCTCTGTCAAATAAATAAATAAAATATTTTAAAAAAGAAAAGAAAACATCACTTTAGGTGACCTTTCTGATCAAACTAAAACAAAAAATGATGACATGTAAATAAACTGTCTAAATATTTCCTTTGGTGGGTGCCTGGGTGGTTCAGCTGGTTAAGCGTCCAACTCTTGATTTTGGCTCAGGTCATGATCTCAGGGTCCTGGGATCAAGCCCCGTGTTGGGCTCCTTGCTCAGTGGGAAGTCTGCTTGTTGCATGTCTTCCTCTCCCTCTGCCCCTTCCCTCTACTGCCACCGCCCCACCCGAGCATGAGCGCTCTCTCTCTCTAAAATAAATAAATATTTATAAATAAATAAAATATTTCCTTTGGTCATATTTAATAGTGCTTATAGTTTAATAATATGTTAAAGAGAAGAGTAACAGTGAGAAAGGAGACCTAAATATCAGCCCTACCATACTTTCAAGTTTTGGGGTTGTTGTTTTTTGTTTTTGTAATGTCTGTTAGTCTTTCCAGGTTCACAATTTGCCACAAACATAAAATAATAAAGTTTAAAGACAATAACTTAAATCAAAGTATGTATCATTTTACAGACACTGGCTTTCTAACTTTGCAGTTATTCTTATACCCTCTCGCCTTTTCTGCACCATACCAACCCGCCACTCTGCCATACTCCTTTAAGCCTTCCCTACCATTCCACCCTAATCACAACCTGCGTTCCTAACTATTATATTATATAGCATTTATTTCTCTCTCCATCCAGATTACAAAAAACCCCACAAATTCATGCTGAAAAGTCAGTCTACAATTAGGAACGCACACACACAAAATTTTTCATTACGTTCAATCCCAACATGGCGGGGGGGGTTACTTAATATTTCCAGCATAACTTCTCAGTGTTTCTTTCAAAAAACTAGTATCATATAGTACACACTGTTTTTTAACTCACTTTTTCTCTTATCAATATAACATTCACTCCACCTCCTCATATCCCTGAGGAACGGATTCAAATGCAAGTAGTTTATTTGTAAAGTATAGAAATACTAGCAAGAAGTGAGAAAATTCAGGGGAAAATCCAAAAATTATCAAGCCTGCTACTATGGGCAACTGGTACTTAACCTCAGGAGAAAACTCTGGGAAACAATGTAGAATTATGGCACTCAAGGAGGGAGAGAGCTGAGGTAACCCTACACCAACTCCTGTCAGTCACTGTCTGAGGGGCACTCCCAGACTGCCCTGCAGAGAAATTCCCTAACCCTTCTCAGAGTCCTCAAGCAGAGATGCGGATACTGATGTTTGGAAGTAGGCTGCTTCCCTCTAAATAAGTAATAAAATCCAAGGGATGTACACAAGGTACTGATAGCATCTGCTATACCCCACATCTTTGAATATTCTGTATCATTTGAAATTTTTTTTAGATTTTTTTGTGGGGGAAGGGGCAAAGGGAAAGGGAGAGGGACAAGCAGACTCTCCGCTTGTGCAGAACTGGATGTGGGGCTCGATCCCAGGACCCTGAGATCATGACCTGAGCCAAAGTCAGATGCTTAACCAACTAAGCCACCCAGGTGCCCCTCATTTGAAATTTTAGAAATTAAAATGACTTGATATGAACCAGAACTGCTTTCTATCCAACATTTGATATCTGCAACTAAATATGCTTTATGCGGTTTCCTGTGTAGTGTGTCTGGGACTAAATTTGAAAAGAGGCATATCAAAAAATCAAGGCAATCAAAGAAAAATAAAACCATCAGGCTGAACTGTATGAAATGCTGTGTTCTGCAGATCAGAAACTGTAGAATCTCAGCAATTTCATATGGTTCAACCTAATATGCATCAAACTTCCAATTATTTCCTTTCTAGGTTCCATAACTATTGTAGCACCTATTTCCAAGGTCTTTACTTCTCCCTCTCATTTCTTTTTCTCTTCTTCCTTTCCTTTCATGAGGAAATGTAGGCATGAAACCATAAAGTAGTAACTACTGGTACACTGAATATACAACTTTTCAGCTGTACCCAGGCTAGGTGTAAATGAATGAATGAAGTAAAATCAGATTTCCATGAAAAATATATCTTTCTCTTCCACACCTTGTGATTCCATTCTTTCAACTAAGAGAAAAATAATTACTATCTCAAAGGACAGACATCCTAAGAGTTGGTGTAGGACTACCCCAGTATCTTCACCCCTTAAAAAACCAAGTCTGTGATAGGATTAAACCACCATTTATATAAAAAGGTTTGTAATGGTTTTTGAGTTTTATTTTTATGAAAATTCACTCACTCTGTAAGAAAAAGTACATAGCTATAATAGACAACTATATTTAGTTTTAGCTACTGTCAAAGAATTGAACAACGATGGGGATTAACATAAGAATGAAAAAAAAGTGAAGGACAAAAAAAAAAAAGAATTGAACAACGGAAAAAGAAAAGGCAAACATATGATCATCTTTACCTGCAAAAGGAGATTTCAACATGAGACTCTCCTCTACCATGATACCTTCTTGCGTCTTGTGTCCAAGCCTTTGCTTGAACTGCTGCATGAACTCTGGGGAATGGATGGACTCTACAGGATTTGTTTCATTGGACTGTGTGGTTCTGAGTTCTGGAGAGCACAGCAAGTCTTCAGTGTACTGCTCTGTTTTCATTAGGTCACTACCAGACAATACTCTCAAACTAACTGCAGGAAACTTCAGAACAGGAGGGTCTGCCTCACCAAAACTCAAGGCATTTGATAAACCAAAGTCGTCATCCTCAGGAATGGGGTTGTACCATATTTCTCCTTCATCATCTGCATCATTTTCCTCATTAAAGTCTAAAGAACAGTTTCTTGATAATGAAGAATTTGTAGCATCACACACCATATATGTACAGTATTCCTCAGATGACTTGAAGAAAGGCCGTGATAGCTGATATTTGGGTGAGATGGATAAGTGACTTATGTCTTGGCATTTCTTATTTTCCTCTTCCAAATTAAAAGATCGCAGAGTACTCTGATATAGCCAATTGCGTTTCTTTGACACAGTGATGCTGTTAAGTGGCTTATGACCTCTGAATCCAATATTATCCTTCAGATCTTCAAGTTCTCTTCTCTTCACTGAAGACCCATAGACGTTTTCAAATAAATCTGTTTCAAAGGGAAAAGAAAGTAGAATGTAATGATATAACGCCTAGCATACCAGGAAAGACAGGTCACTTGAAATCACTTATTGAAATATTATTTTTAAAAAGATAGAAAAGTAGTATTACATTTGGAGACTAAAATGAAATAAGAAAAATTTTGGCTTTTTCACCTAAAAATAATTTCTATTAGACTACTAGTATAAGTGACATAAGAACTCTGAGAAAAAGAATAAACAAACTCTGAGATTGCCTTTATAGACATGATAGGGTTAACAAAGACTTAACCCAAGCAAAACATACTTTATAAAAAGCTTACATAGAATGCTTTGTACACAGTATGCCTTTAATTAATATTTTTAATAATTTCCAACTTACTACTACAAGGACCAGAAATCTTTAGAAAACATAAGTAATATTTCTACTTTCTCACACAAAGATTAACTTTGAGTGAATCTTTAAAAATAAGTGTGGCTTACTTATTACTAAATGCTTTCCTGATTACTGAAATTTCAGCATAACATCTATTTCCCAATCACATAGTTATGCAGTTGCACCTTATGCAGGGTTTAAGTTCTAAGTATCTAGGACAAAAATAAAAATAAAAATCCCTTTAGAAGGCTCTAGATTAGAACCAGCTACCTTGTCTCACGGCAAATATAACCAGCTCTTATTACTGACCAGGCACAAACTTAAGGAGCAAGAACATAAGAATGAACAAAATAGTTTCTACCCTTAAAGAATTCATAGTCCAATGAGGGTCATCAAATAGTTGGGATGTGTTTGTGTTAATATAATGAGATAAGACTCTGAAAATGTATACATAACATTAATCCCATATAAAGAGGAACACATCCAAAGAATTGCATAAGGCAGGCTTCAATAACAGTCAATAAGCTAAATATATACCATAATACTAATTCACTAGACATAGAAAAATAGACAAAACCACATTTGTAAAAACTTAAGATCATGTCCAGCTTTACAAATTATGGAATTATAGTCTGTGCTACTTTAAGTATGTATATGGTTGATTCATCTTAGTATTACAACAAATAAAATATAATACCCTAATAACAGAGTGATAAAAACATATTAAACTATGAGGAATTTAATAACAACCAAAAAACTAGGTTCATGCATAATCAAGGCTTTCAGTAACCTCCCTCTACTGAACAAAAATCCCTTAAAAAATGTAAACTTGTCTTTTTTAAATTCTAAATTTTACCCAATTAATTTAAAAATTATGGGGCGCCTGGGTGGCTCAGTTGGTTAAGCGACTGCCTTCGGCTCAGGTCATGATCCTGGAGTCCCGGGGTCGAGTCCCGCATCGGGCTCCCTGCTCTGCAGGGAGTCTGCTCCTCCCTCTGACCCTCCCCCCCCTCATGTGCTCTCTGTCTTTCTCATTCTGTCTCAAATAAATAAATAAAATCTTTAAAAAAAAAAAAATTAAAAAAAAAATTTTTTAATTAAATTAAAACAACATCCCTCAAACAGCAACTGGGCTTCAAGTTCCACTAGTTCCAGAGGCAGGAATAGACTAGGACCAAAAGGGAAGGAAGCTCCCATGAATGCCTACTATGCATTTATTTATTGAGTGCCTACTGTATATCAGCAATGAGAGATAAAACAGTAAGAAAGCCTTTAACGTCGTTTAAGCCTCCACAAAAATGCTAGGAAAGGTATGATTATTTCCATAAGCCAGAAAAAAATGAAGAATACGGTCAATGTGCTAGCTATAGTATTCAAATTTAAGCCAGTCTAACCCTAACATCCATGCTCTCCTATACCTGCTCTCCTATACCATGCTACCCACCAAAAAGTAGGGAAGTAGGCAGCCCTTTCTGAACATGGTGATGATATCAACCCAGTTAACCTTACAGGGTGGCTGCTGGTAAGAATTAAGTGAGATAATGTTGGAAATATTTTGAAAACTGTGTAGTACTACTCAGAAAAATAAAGTAACTTGCCCAAGACCACCTAGTTCATAAATGGGAGAGGCAGCACTCAAAATAAACTCTTCTGACTCCAAAGTTTGTTAGCAGTAGACCTGGGCTACAACTAAGAGATTACACACCTCTACCCTCCAAGATTTAACATGCAAATATGTAACACATATTCAGTAAGTATCTTGAATTGATTTAGTTTAACTAATGAAAAACGTCAAGATTCAAGAGTCCTCTTGGTTCTGTCTCCTTCAAAATTAAAGAAATTAAAAAGTGAAAATCAACACATACTCATGAATCACTGGGGCCTCTGGGTTTTTAGTGGCCACGTCTTTGTCCAAGTGTACTAAAAACTAAATCTATTTCACATTTAAGCCCAAATCCCATATTATTTAATAGCACTTCAGACATTCACGAGATATTATTTGTAGTCTTTACACAATTGTAAATTTGAAGCCAAAAGTACTAAATTATACAACTCAGAATGGCTAGGAGTCACATCTTATTGTATCTTTTTCTCAGATGTCTCTCAAAATATCCAACATTTTATATAGTTAGATAAATTATTTTGAGTCCTATAGAGTTTTTTGACATGCATTTTAAATGAAATAGACATGCTTCTACTTGTACTGCATTCCAAGGAACTGCAATGACAAAAACAAAGCTACTGGCATCCCATACTTATGCAAATTGACACATCTATTGACATGAGTATTTAATGTATATATTTTTTTTAAGATTTTATTTATTTGACAGAGAGAGACACAGCGAGAGAGGGAACACAAGCGGGGGTAGTGGGAGAGGGAGAAGCAGGCTTCCCGCGGAGCAGAGAGCCCAACGCGGGGCTCGATCCCAGGACCCTGGGACCACGACCCGAGCCGAAGGCAGACACTTAAAGACTGAGCCACCCGGGCACCCCTAATGTATAATATTAAAAGGAATAATTACACAAGATACTATGCAACTACTTTTCATGAAACTATAAACTACAAAAACTTGAAACCAGTCTGACTGTTATTGCTGAATAATTCAAAATAGTACATGATGCTGACGGCAAAATTTAGAGATAAATAGGTACATTACTGTGATTTCTGATAAAGGCCAAATGTATTCATGTATTAAAACTGAAATATAAGAAACGCCTACAGGGCACTAAATTTTATTTGAGCAATTATTTATAAAGAATTTAAAACATTTCATTTTTATTTTCATTAACTAAAGGGATGAATATGAATGTTAATTACACAGAAATGGAAAACTATTTGCAATCTTCTATTTACTCCCTTTTATGCTAAAATCAATGTTAAACCCTACTGGCATAAGTTTGAACTACCTTTAGCTTCTGTTAGCTTTACCTACAGCTATATTCATATATAAACACACACACACACACTGAAAGAAGAAACAAGTAAAAAAGATATCAAAATAGTATGCAAAGTGGCAAGGCAAAAAAGTCTTTATTCCCTTATAATTATACACATTGTGATATAATTAATTAAATGACTAATTAAAGTCATTTTACTTTGAAAATCTGTAAGAGAATGTAGAAGTGGCAATTAAGTTTTTCACTCAGAAAAATATTCTACATAGTAGTGAACTACTCAAGCCAATTTTGTGTTCTCAATGGTTTCATAATAAATTAAAATGACTTACTAAACATTTAGTGTCCCAGCTCAAAATCATCAGCAAACTTTCTGAGAAATTACGTATTTCAACCCTCAATGAAAATGTACCTATATAAGACATCTTTTCATCATTTAAAAAAGTCCTACTGCAGGGGTGCCTGGGTGGCTCAGTCAGTTAAGCATCTGTCTTCGGCTCAGGTCATGATCCCAGGGTCCTGGGATTGAGCCCCACATCGGGCTCCCTGCTCAGGGGGGAGCCTGCTTCTCCCTCTCCCTCTGCTGCTCCCCCTGCTTGTGCTCTCTGTCAAATAAATAAAAACAATCTTTAAAAAAATAAATAAAATAAAAAAGTCCTACTGCAGAAACAAACTCTGTTGCTTTTGCTTACTTCTCTTTTAAAAATCCTAAATAAAAGTATTCTTACAAATACTGTATTAGAGTTTAAATAAATACAAACAGCCCTGCTTAGAGTCAAACCTGGCAGCCCAGAAGAAATGACTAGAATAAACTGAAACCTTAGGTTTATGCATGAGTGTACTTATAAGTGTCTTTCTCTTTTCCAGATAAATCTAAATGAGGAAATGGGTACAATGGAAAGGAAGAAAGTTATTTTTCTATCTTTTATGTTTCCTCCCTTGTGACTAGCAACAAAACCCTTAAGAAAAAAGCTGTGTGCTAGCTTTTGGGACAGTAGAAAAGAAAACCCTGAGACTATTTTCAGTTCCACAAAAGTAAGGGGGAGGAGCAAGACAAAGATGCACAAAAGAAAAGATGAGCAGAATAAGTAAGTGCCGCTAAAGGGGTGTGTTCCAGCTCAACTCCCAGTGTTCTTCAAGGCAGTACTCCTCAACTTCTGATCATTTCACTCTCCATCCAGAATCCTAATGATCTGGGCAAGGTAGTACTCTCACAAAGCCTGCTTGCCTTTCTCTTGATAACAGCTAACTAAGCATCAAGCATGGTACCAAATGGATTATCTTTTTTCATCCTCACAGCAACCTGAGGACTGAGGCTCTGCAGTGTTGAATAACCTGTTCAAGGTCACAAGCCTGGTAAGGTAAGTGGTGGGGTCTAATCAGAAACCCAGAGGCCCTATTCTGTTAACCAGTATACTATATGGCCCCCTCTCTGGCAGATTCCAAAATCTCACATTTATTGGTGCAAGATGAGACCCATATAGAGGGAACTGCTTAAACCTGTCACAGGCAAGTAGTAAATATAAATGTATACATAACAAAATTGAAGCAGAAAGAGCTCAACTGCTTTGTTCTAATAGGGATTAGTTTAAGAATCAGGTATCAGAATAAAGTAGAATGCTTTTTCAAAACTTTAACAAATGTATCAAGATAGGTGATGGGGGTACTGGGAACTCTAGAAGCTAACTACTCAAAGTATGTACCAAACAGTAGCATCTACACTGGGAGTTTGTTAAAACGCAGAATCTCAGGTCCCACCTATAAATCTGCATTTTAACAAGATTTTCAGGGAATTCATATGCACATTTACTTTAAAAAGCACTGCTCCATAACCACACTTTGAGTGGCAATGGTGTAGAAAATAGCCTTGGAGATTCTCAAAAAATAAACTCCACTTAGAAATGTAGGACTTTCAAATCAACACACTATTTTCTGCTGAATTTGTAATTCTCAGAGTTTTCCTGCCACCAGCAACTCTAGTGTTCTACGGCATTGCCCCCCCTCCCCCCCCAAAAAAAGCAACTGGACTTGCCTCTAGGGCCACAATGGCAGAATTTCTCAGAGGAGGATTTAAAACTAGAAGACAGGAGCGTCTGGGTGGCTCAGTCGGTTAAGCATCTGGCTTCAGCTCAGGTCATGATCCCAGGTTCCTGGGATTGAGCCCCACATTGGGCTCCCTGCTCAGCTGGGAGCCTGCTTCTTCCTCTCCCTCTGCCCCTCCCCCTGCTTGAGCATGCCCACTCTCTCTCTCTAATGAATAAAATCTTTTTTAAAAAAATAGATAAAATAAATAAAAATAAAGCTAGAAGACAATAAAAAAAATATATGCATATTGTTACTAATTGTGAAGAGGGCTAATGCATAAAAGATTTTGTTGAAAAAAATCTATAAAGATCATGTAGCTCATAAAGATAGGAAATCAGAGCTACAAATACTTGAGAAAAGAGAAGAAACAGATGGGACTCCACATTATAAATGTCAACTTCACTTTAAGGTATATTACACAAGATTATACCAGTTAATTATACTATTTTAAAAGAATTGCCTACAATTCTTTTGTATAATATTTTTAGACAAAAATATTAACAAGTTACATGCCCTAAAGTTTTCCTTTCACAGATAGTGTAGCAGCAAAAGTAGAGTCAAAATAGGCTATTTTTAGGGGCGCCTGGGTGGTTCAAATGGTTAAGCCTCTGTCTTCTGCTCAGGTCATTATGTCAGGGTCCTGGGATAGAGTCCCACATCGGGTCCCGTGCTCTCTTTCTGTATCTCTTGTCTCAATGAATAAATAAAATCTTTTTAAAAAGGCTATTTTTAAAGCAATAAAAGGCTGAAACAGCTCAACCTAGTGCTTTTGAATTTCCTTCTGAGTACTATATGCTAATTAAACTTATTTATAAAGACTTTTAATGAAGTATAGTTGGCAAATAGATTAAAATTCCTTTGTAATCTTAAGGCTTGCAGAAACTTGACAATATTTACCATGTGTAATGACTTTAGATTTCTTAAATAATCATCTCAATTAAGAACAAATTGGCCAATCTGTGAACACTACATACCCAATGCACCAAATCACTGGCACTATTAAACTATCTCAAGTTTTAGAGGTTCTTAGTAGGAGCCATAAGTCAAAATAGAAAATCCATTTGTTATATAGTCTCAAAAATTTCCAAAATACCTAAATATTAGGTAAATTAGGTATCTCTATCCCATTATATATTCTATATTATAAATTCTGTATCATTTTTTAAAACAAAATATCCTCATAAATAATACTGTATAGAAAAGTGTGATATTAACCTTTTAGTCTATTTAACATCTTTATACAATCTAGAATGTACTGCTTCATTTGGACTGCCCAATTAATTTTTAGAAAACATGACTGTAAAGTAGAATCCGGAAAAGATGTTAAAAAAAAAAAAAATAGAATCCAAGTAACATCAATCTGAACTAAAGTTATTTAAAGGTAAAGGTTTAAAACATATTGATTAAAAAATTGTCTTAAAATCTATGAGAACTCCTTCATCTTTGCAACTTTGAGGTTGTTACCTACCCTTCTAAACCTTGCTGAAATTCCATTCATCTCCTCAATCCAAGCAACATAATAGAATTTGTTGGATCAGACCTCTAAAGAACTTTAGCATCTGCTTAACCTTAAATAAATATAGGTTTTGGAGTCATAGAGATCTAAGTCTAAATCGGTGTAATTGTTTGAATCCATATACCAGTATATACACACCATATACTAGTTTGAGTGACCTTGGGCAAACTACTTAACCCGTTTATTTTGTTGTTGTTGTTAAATGACAAGTGTCATGGGGGGTAAATATGAGAACCACATAAAGTATCCAGAATTGTTTTAATGAGTTAAACTAACTTCATGAAAAATAGTTAAAAAACAAGATTAACTCCCCAAATCTATACTAGATATGTAAACATTACACAAACTATTTTTATCTTTCCTAAAAAATTTGAAAGGAAATAACATCTGATTACAAAACATTAAATAACATCTGAGAAAGGTGTTTAAACCAGAAATTATCCAAGCTTTTGCTTAGATTTCTTGTAAAATATCTAAAATACTACCACACAGTAATTCTAATGTTTCATTTTAATTTCTTTTAAAGTTACTTCCATTTAATTAGTTTCTCAATGAAAAAAAAATCAATGAATTCATTCTTAAGCATTACTACATTTATTATTACTTTTAAAATCCTTGAATGTTTATTTACTCTATAACTGAGGGCCTTAAAAGCCATCAGATGGTAAATGTTTAACCTTTGCCACGAAAGGGTAAAAAATATTTAACTAAAGTTTTATGCAGATTTTTGCTATGGCTGAAGTTTAACAATCTTACAAAGAGTTAACTGAACCAAGATCATGGGAAATAAAGCTATAGTGGCAATAAAATATGATTACAAATACTTTACCCCTGCAAATGCATATTTTAATATGAATTTAGCTTAATAAAGCACACCTCTCTTTACAAAAAAATTTACATCCTGTCATCCTTTTATTCAAGTGAAATGGAATAAATTTGAGGGAAAAAATTGACAGGTATGGATTAGAGATTTATAGATTCAAAAAAACTTTCCAAGTCTGTATAAGCTTTAAATGAATCATTTGATTTGTCTTCACTGTGTGATTAGAAGTTTTGTGAACTTTGTTTCTCCCCACTGTTTTGCATTTATTGATTAAACAAAGTTAATGTGTATAAACCCAGTCCTAGAGGATTTGTAATTCTTTTTTTTTTTTAAGATTTTTTTATTTATCTGTTTGACAGAGAGAGACACAGCGAGAGAGGGAACACAAGCAGGGGGAGTGGGAGAGAGAGAGAAGCAGGCTTCCCGCTGAGCAAGGAGCCAGATGCGGGGCTCGATCCCAGCACCCTGGGATCATGACTTGAGCCGAAGGCAGAGAAAATGCCAAGTACTCTGAATACTTTTTACATTTCACCATCTAATATTTTTTAAACAATTAATGACATGTAAGTCTTTATGTTCATTAAAAGTCTTTGTATTTAAGATTGTAGCTCAAAGGATCATGTTGTTTTGGACTCAGTTTGAAGGTATTTTACTTCTTTCAGGAAAGAATTACTATTTACAACATAATTAAAAGATTTCTAGAATTGGTACTCTAAACCTTCAGTGAAAATTAAAAATCATGTACATACAAAATTGGGAGGAAAATCCTATTTATAAGGGCAAATATAGTTAAGTTTACAAACGACTTTAAAAGTCTGCACTTTCTTAGAAGTACATGTGACATCTTTTTTTGATTAAAATACTAGTGCCCTTGATTTTCCACAATAAAAAGATTACTCACTTCGTTAGTTTTTTATGGGAGGGAGGAGGGAGGAAAGGTGAAGAGAAGTATGTGAAATCCTAAGTGACTAAAAAGAAATTTTAGTTGACAGTGGTTTTTTTTGTTTGGTTTGTTTTGGGGTTTTGGTTGTGTGTGTCTGTGTTGTGTGCACGCGCGCCTGGGAGAGAGGGGAAAAAAAAACGTGTAATGAGTAAAATGAGTTTATGAAGCCCATAAAGTCTTCTTTGGATCAAATTCAAATTCACAAACCCCACAAAGTCTACGGACTTGCCTAGAGCCACAAAGAATAAAAACCAAGGCAGCACCGCCCAACTCTATACCAAAAGCGTGTGGTGAGCTTAACCTTTACTCACTGTTGTGCTGAAGAGTAGGCACACTGGTTCTTGGAGAAGAAAAAACAAAAACCCCAAGTTCCTCATGCCACTGTCGGAAAGGAAAGGAAAGAAGAGAAAGAAAAGAAAAAGGCAAAGCAAGTGAATGCGTTATACTAAGTGACCGGGTGCTTTCGGCTGCCCCTCACGTGACCCTGGCACCGGCACGTACCTGTCTGCAGAAACAGACCTTATTCTTGGCTCTTAAGCGAAGCCCAGTTGGTAAACATTAAGACGCAAAGTGTTAGCATTTTGACTGCAAAGGAACCTACCTGTTAGAGTAATTCTTTGATCTGGAGGCACGGAGAGGAGTTGGCTCTCGCGCACTTTCAAAGGGCCCAGATTTGGAGAGGTTGCCTGCGCTCCCGTGACTTTGGGGGGTGTCCCCCGGGAGCGACCCTTCATTCCCAAGGACAGCAGACGTCCTTTGTACATCCACTTTTGCAGCTTCTTGACTGTCACCGCGGGAGGCTTGAGGAAGGGGAGCCCCTCCTGGCCGTCTCCTTTGCCGCTGCGTACCACAGCGGACCCCGCAGGATCCCTGAAAGGGCTTCCCGAGGAGCGGCCGGGGTCCTTGGAGCCCCGAGTCAGGAGGCCGGAGGGCGCGGCGGCCGGAGCGCTGCCTCCGCTCCAGCCGTCCATCCCGCCTCCACGTGGCGGGGGCTCGCCCAGGTCTCCGCGCGCGCCGCACCTGATCCAGCTGTCGCTCGGCCACCGCTGGAAGGGAGGAGGCTTGGCACCCACCCGGAGGCTCTCGAGGCTTCTGCTGCAGGACAGCCGCATCCGAGGAGTCCGCAGGCGACCTCCCCCCGGCTCCCTTGGAGGCGACCGGGGCGGGGACACCTGCTGCCGAGGGCGGCCACCGCCTCCCCGCTGCCAGTCTTGGGGGCAGGCTCGGCGGTCCGCAGCGCCGCAGGGGGAAGGCGGCTGGCCCAGAGCCCGGGCTCCCACAAGGCAGCCGCGATCCGCCCAACCCCTGTCGCCCCGCCGCGCGCCCGAGTCAGGGGGCAGGTCGTGCATGGCCTGGATCAGCAAATAATAGGCCTCTCGCAACTGGGTCTGCAGCCTGCCTGTCTCCAGGCGGCCGCCCTCCGCCCCCGGGGAGGAGCCCGCCGCCGGGGGAGGCGGGGGCCACCGCTCCGCCTCCGCCCCCTCAGGCTTGGGCGCCGACTGGGAGCCGCCGGGCAGGTTCTCGTAGTAGTCGTCGTCGTCGTCCTCCCGGTCGTCCTCCTCGTCTCCGCTGCCTTCGGAGCCCGGCGGGGCGTGCAGACAGGGGCGAGTGAGCCCGCGACCCGAGGAGAGGGCCTCCTTCCCGCCGCGCTGACGAGGCCCGAGCGCTCCCCACTGCTCCGGGCGCCCTCCCGGGACCCGCGCCTCGGGACCCCACGCCTGCGGCGACGGAGGGGGCTGCTCCCCGCTCGGCCGGGCTCCGCGGGCGTGCTCGCATGGGCAGGCGTCCGGGGCACGGCCAGCGTCTCCCTCGGCAACCGCGGAGGCCGTCACGGTAGCTGCAGCCGCCGCCCGGAGCCCGAGCCCCCCGGCGGCGCGGGGACTCCGCCTCCCCCGGAGCCTGGACAGCGTCCTCCTCAGAGGGTCCGCCATCCCCTCCGCCTCAACAGCCAGGCTCGCCCCTGCTGCGGGAAGAGGACGGCGCCCAGTTCGGGAGAAATCTGCGCTCGCGGAGGCGGCGGCGGCGACGGCGGCGGCGGCGGCTCCCCATGACCGGCGCTGGCCCTCGCGGGCTCCTCACATACTTGGCATAACTCTGCCGCGGGAAGGGGTGGGGGAGGGCGGCGGCGCCGCAGAGCGCATGCCCCGGAGCCTCGGGCCGCGACGGGGCGCGCAGGGTGCCGGCGGCTGAGCTGCGTTTCCCGGGTGGGCGCGCAGCGCGGCGGAGGGTCGGGGAGGGAGGAGGGCGAGTGAGCTGAAGCGGGCACCGGGACGCGAGAGGGAGCGCCCAGAGCGTGGTGAGGAGTGGGGGCCGGGGGAATAGGCGGACAGTGAGAGTTGAGGCAGAGAAAAGAATGAGCGGGAAGGTGTCTCGGCTGGAAGGCTGCGAAGTTTTGGAGAAAGGGAAAGTGCCCTCCTGGCTGCCACCCGTCACCTTCACCCCCTCCCCGTTGCCACCATTGCACGAGGCGTGTCTAACAAGTCCTAGCTTGAGAGAAAACAAAGATCCTTTTGACGGACACAGTGTGCGTACAGGTGTATCTCACTTAGTGCAATGTGTTCTAGCAACGTTCCTAATCATTTTAATGACACGGGGAGCTAGCTATTTAAAGGAAATTTGCAACGATTCCTTTTCAGTTAGGAGGAATCCTTTTGCCCAAAAAATCACCACCTTGTCCCCCTAAGTCTATTTTTCTTTTTTAAATGAATGCATGCTACCACAAAATTCTGATTATCAACCTTGTAAAATGGAGCCGCAGAAATAGTGCCCCCCATCACCCCGCTTACACGTCATTTTAATGAAAACTTGGTTGAGAAACAATTGGGTTAAAATTGGGAAACGGTGTTCTTTGGAAATATCAGCTCTCTCAAAAACATGAAATCCCGTATTCTGTGTTAACAGTTGCCACAGGTGAATGGACCTATCCCTGATTGGTAAGAATCCTCGTCACTGTCACCTCTGATTTCAGTTACATTTTTTTAAAGATTTTATTTATTTATTAATTAGAAGAGCACGAGGTGGTGTGGGGCAGAGGGAGAGGGAGAAGCCGATTTCCCACTGAGCCCGCAGTCCCATGCCCCGCAGGACTCCATCCCAGGACCCTGAGATCCTGACCTGAGCCCAAGTCAGACACTTCACTGACTGAGCCACCTAGATGCCCCCAGTTATATATTTTTTTAATGTTTACATATTAGGAAGGGCCTTTGTCTGCGTAGCTTATGAATGTACTCCTAACTCCCAGCACAGTACTCGCACGTAATAAGAATTCGAGAAATACTTGTTGCATAAATGAATGCTTGCATAACTAAATAAAAGAATTTAGTCCTGGGGCATCTGGCTGGCCCAGTCGGTAGAGCATGCCACTCGACCTCGGGGTGATAGGTTGGAACCCCACACGCCCCACCTTGGACAGAAATTACTTAAAAAAATTTTTTTTTTGGTCCTAACATCCAATTTCCAAATATATTTATGGAAGTTTCTTTTTTTTTTTTTTTTAAAGATTTTATATATTTATTTGACAGAGAGAGACACAGCGAGAGCAGGAACACAAGCAGGGGGAGTGGGAGAGGGAGAAGCAGGCTTCTAGCTGGAAGTTTCTTTTTTCCCCACCAGTTAAAGACTCCAATCTCTAAATGTGCTTTGATATATACTACTTTCCTTAGTACTTAGTCCCTGCCTCCTGGAATAATTTTACCTGCATCTCTATTTGCAAAAATCTAACCCATCCTTTAAGACTCGACTCAACCACCTCTCAGAAGTCATCTCTGATGTTCCAGATGGACATGATCTCTCATTCTTCCAAACTCCAGGAGTGCTTTATTCATATCCATTCATAGTATATTTATTGGTTTTTGTTTGTCTACAAAGCACGCCTTATCTCTCCTACAAGAAAAATCATAAATTCCTTAAGGGCAGAGACTATTTATCATTGACTTCTGTATTCTCCACAGAGCATAAGTATAGCATCTTATATATGTACATGATAAATAAATATTCTTGAATTAATGACAGTTTTAATTTAGAGGAAACAAACAGCTTTAATTTCCAGTCTATTGCCTAACTCTCCACTAGACCATATTGTATTGGTGTTGTTTTAAAATTCTTTTAGTTATGAGTAAGAAATACTTTGTTAAATAATCTAAATCCTCATCTAGGAAAATACTGTGAAATGTTGAACTATAATTTGCATGCATTACTATTCATAGTCCTACAGTATTTTTATTCCATGGAGCAAAGGCTATTTAATGAATAATCAAGGCATACAATTATGTCCCAGTGAAATATTCCCACAGGAAATGACTGACAGTAAATCTGCCAATAATGGTGTCTATAAACACAATTTGATCTCTATCTCAGAAATTGTTTCCATTCCAACTCTCGGTTACAAAATCTGTTTATTCTTTGTAAGTTAACAGTTGTGAAGTATACCGTAAGTTGCACATATGTGTAAACATGAATAAAAAAATATAACCTTGAAGGTCTAGGTTGAACTTCTTTAATTCAGCTTGTCAACTTGTTGATTTCAGGAGTTATAAATACATTGGCCAATATCAAATACTACACATTGTTCTACACATTACTCAGAACTAAGTCTGAACACAACTGAACTTAATGACACTTTGAAGGGGAAAATGTTCTATCACATAAATTCACAATTTTTAAGAAGTGTTTTAAAGGGTCAAAACAAATTAATAAGGCAATCAAGGCTATATGACACTAAATAATGACCTTAAAAATGCAAATCCCACTGTATGTGTATTACACTTCAATAAAAAGTTTACAAAAATGTAACTCTACAAAGACAGTACCCACAGAATTTACATTACACATATAGTTCAGACAGTGACAAGATATGAACATAAGTTATACTTTGTAAAATCCTTTTTGTTGTTTTACCCCATTCCCTCAGTTATCTCAATTTTCATATATTTCTAATCAACAGACTCCTATGAAAATTAAGGGGTGGGGATACATTTTCCAGTGTTTGTACTTGTTTCTCACTGACTTGGAAATCATTTTGATGCCCTGTGAATTAACAACTATGTCGGCACAGTCACAAAAGATGAAACAACTATGGGATAATAGGACTCCAGTAAGGCAGGGAGCCAAACTAGGGGTGGGGTAGTACTGACTCAGTCTGGGAGAAGGGGTGGGAAGCAAGACAGGTTGAGACAGAAGGCTAAGTTTAACAGTAATACAAAGCAAATGTCTAGGTATGTTATGGTTATTTTCTAAGCAATTTAGAGTGCATTTCTGTCTCACTGCTGTTCAGTCTTCCACTGCTTAGTGGAACCAAAGACAAGTTTAACTCTGGCATTTGCCCAGTTCTCTCTCTCTCTAAACTGCCTTCTAGGGATCCTCTGGTATAGACCTGCCTGGTCTGCCGTGATGCCATTTCATCAATATTGAGTTAAAAGGGTTTTAGCCCAAAACTGACCAGCGTGCCACTGCCCTGATACTCAAAGATGGCACATCCTGATTACAGCATTTTTTACTGTTAATTTTTTTCCATAATTAATAATATCTGGCAATTAGTCATGTTCCTTACCTTATCCCCTACCTTGAACCAAAGGAATAAAAAGGAGGCTTTTGCCAAATACATATGTATTTTCTAATGTTTTAGAAATGTATAATGTTTTAGAAATGTATAATGTTTTAGAATATTCACTATTTCACACCTTCTTGTTGTATATTTAGGATATGTAGAGTAAGTTCCTCAAAGTCACCATAATAAGTGAAGGGAAATTCAAACCTCATCTATCTGATTCCAAAACCACTACAGCCTACAGCCCTGGGACATTTCCCTGTAAAGAAAAATAGAATATCCATTTGCTAAAACCGTACTTGGGCGGACCTGAAATTTTGTTTCCATAAATTAGTTAGTTGGTCACCTTTCAGAAGAGCTTAATATTTTATGAGCTTTTGTGAATGCAGCAGATCATTGGAAAGCTGCTTGTTGAAGATTTGAATGCTTTTCTGTGCAGTCCTCTTCAAAGGTGTTAGAACTAAATCCTGTAATATATTCCCCTTTAACTGTAAATATTAAGCCACAATGTGCAACTGCATCCAGTAAAGGTAGTCTAATTTTAAAAGTAGGACAAACTCAATTAAATACTTTAAAGGCAAAATATATGCATCCTTAAAACCACAGGCACTGGCAGATAAGCCTCTTTTAGAAGTAAACTGAGGGTATAGCCTGTCCCTCCTAAGTGATTTGTATCTCTGGGTAACTCAGAGTTGATGGAGAGAAGTAGTGTTGTTGTTTTTTCAAAGCTGTTAATCTAATAAAAAGAATTGGTGCAATACCAACATTTTTCGTTCTGATGAAATACTGGATCTAATAATAGAGCTCGACAAAAATCACAAGTGGCTACTCGCATCACCGAGAGAGAGACAGACTGACATTACATGGCTTCTGGTCAAGTACACACCACCACCTCTTACCAGAAATGAACCTGAGTTTGATCAGCCTTATGATCTGATTACCAACTTTCAGGAATTGCAAAGAACAGAGGAGCATATTAACACCAGGGGGATGCAATTATATAATCCAGACTATGGGAAAGTACAAGCCAGAGGACTCAGTTTCTTCAACCTATTAACCAATTGCACGATATGGACTTTTTTTTAACAGGAATCCAACTTTCCAAGTGGATCTTGGCAACTATTTAAAGCAACATAATTTTGAGGGTGGCCAAATGGTATACACTGCAAGGATAGCAAGAGAAAATTGAAATCTAGGTCTAAGGACTGCAATTCTAATCCAAATCTGAAGTGGTATAATAGAAATTATTTGAAATCAGATAGAACTAGTTCGCATCCAAATCCTGATCAGTCACATACCCAAAAACCACTGATCGTGGTGAGTGAGCTCTTGCTCACCTTTGCCAATTCCAGATCATTATTCCTCCTTCTTCCTGAAAATCCACATCTCTCTTGAAATACATGGCATTAAACTATACCACCTGCTGCCTCTGCTTTTTATTGTCATCTGCCACCTTCCCCTTCGTTCATTCTAGCATCTGCCTCACTATCTCTCTGCCATTTTTCTTGTCATTATTATTGGTGATTTTGTTA